CCTGGAGCTTCCATGACGTTACTTTGAACCCTTTGGCAGAACCATGCTCTAGGGACAAGTAAAGATTTTCGTTCTTATTGCTAAGGACCCATGGAAGTGATACCAAGAGTCTCCATTTAACACCCCCCCTCCATCACATTTCCACACTTTGAATGGGGAAGGCTATGTGTTGGGGTGGACGAGTGAGCGGGCTGTTAGTAAGTCCATCTACTTTTTTTCTAATCCTCATCCGAGGACATTTTTATGTTTTTTGTTCAGGTAGAGCAGGAGGGAGAGAGAGGAACAGAGAGAGAGAGAGAGAAACATCGATGTGAAAGGGACACATCGAGTGGCTGCCACCCGCACGACCAACCAGGGCCGGGGACAAACTGCAACCGAGGTACATGCCCTTAGCGGGAACCGAACCCGGGTCTCTCAGGACCGCAGGCCAACGCTCTAACCGCTGAGCCAAACCGGCCAGGGCAGTCCATCTGCTTTTTTAACTCTCATCTCCCTGTGTGTCAGCTTTATGCTGTGGCAGACAGTGCGTGGGCTTCGCAGCTGGCTAGACGTGGGCGGAATCTCAAGTCTACCCTCTGAAGCTGTGCGACCCCAGCCCTGGGCAATGTACCTACCTACCCCCAGTCCCAGGGTCTCCATAGATAAATGGGACATGTGTGCCTTTTGGAAAGCACGTAGCTTATCTTCTGAAAGTCTAACACATTCAAACGCTTAGTCTGGCGGGTGAGTCCAGCACCTGATCCCATCAACATCAGCATCATGTTTGTTTGTTTATTTTTATTTATTTATTTATTTATTTATCGTGTTTTGAACATGTTACAACGTCTTGATGTAGTTGGATTGTGGAACTCAAATACTTCTTTTTTTTTTTTTTTTATCCTCACCCAAGGACATTTTTCCATTTTTTGTTCAGACAGGGTGGGAGGGAGGGAGAGGAAGAGAGAGAGAGAAAGAGAGAAACATCGACGTGAAAGGGACACATTGAGTGGCTGCCACCCACACAACCCAACCAGGGCTGGGGACAAACTGCAACCGAGGTACGTGCCCTTAGCGGGAACCGAACCCGGGACTCTCTGGATTGCAGGCCGAGGCTCTAACCGCTGAGCCAAACCGGCCAGGGCTCAAATACTTCTTTCTTCGAGTAACAATGTGGAAAAGTTCAGTCAATCTGAAATCAGCGGACCCTATTAGGTGACTGACTCTTGGACAAAGGGACTGTCGCAGCCCTGACGGACCGGAAAGCTACGAAAGTACTTCGTAAACCCTTGTAGTTTGACTACACTGTTGGGCAGGATGGGGAAATGCTGTTGTGGCCATGTCCTTGAAAGAGTTCAACTAAAATTGCTTGACCCTTAGGTTCACGCCAGTAGTTCTTGGGTAACGTGAGCGGGATCTAGGAAGTCTCCCTTTTGGAAGCTCACTTTGTTCCTTTCTCTGGTTTTTGGGCTCCAAGGCCAGATGGCTGGCATTAGGATGGGCTGATTCTGGTTTGGTCTCTGTAGCATCCGTGGGGTGTTGCTGTCTGCTGAGCCCTGGAGCCCACAGCTGTCAAGGAGACCCAGCTGGGGCTAGTTTGGGACAAGTTGGGCATATCTTGTCCATCACCACTGTCTTCCTGGGAACCACTCAGTGCTGTGTTCCTAGGTGTGCAGGGTGGTCGAGCACAGTGGTCCCTTCTTCCAAGGAGGTTCTTTTTCCAGAGGGGAGGGCATCCTAATGCATTTGATAACAACTCTTGAGTTCTTCGGGACCGATCATCATTTAGGGCTAAACTGTTCGGAAACATGATAATTACTAGAAAATCCGGAGCAGAGGAGCCCAGGGACGGTTGGCAGAGTTTGAGAAGGTGTATTACTGGTTTTCCAGGGGATGCTCACGGAAACATTCATTAGTGCTGCACAGGAGAAAGGAAGCAGTGTTAGCAGAATGGCTCAGCCTGGCAGCGTCCAGGGGAGAGCATGGCCATCAGAGGGAGCCTCCCCTCGGGATGGAAGGGGCTTCCCGGGGTGCAGCAGGGCCGACGCAGCTGGCCAGAGCTGACGCTGTAGCTCAGGGACAGAGCTGTGGCTTGGAAGGGCAGGCACCGTGAGTTCAGCCCTTGCTGTTGCATTTTGCATTGTGTTATTTCTCTTTTTGTTACCTTAATTTTTGTCTGAGAGTTCGTCAGAGACTTGCAGGATATGTATCATCAGGCCATCAGTAAATTTGTCTCTGGGGAGCTGCTTAGGGAATCAGACCCCGACTTTGGGTTATCCTGGAGCCAAGGAAACCTGGGTGCTAATCTTAGTCTGAAACTGTTCTCCTCCATGTGGACTAGTAGCATCCCTGGGGGCTGGTTAGAAACGCAGAACCAGGCCCACCGCCCTAGGCTTGGGCATCAGCATCTATGTCCTCAGACCCCACGTGGTTCGGAACACGTAATGTCGGAGAAGCACTGGCCTAAATGGTGAGCTCAGGGAAGGCTGGGCCTTTTCTATCTTCTTATTTGTTATTTTGTATCCTCAGTGTCTATTTAATGTTTAGCACGTGGTAGCTACAAAATCCATGACCCTTCTGACTTGGGCACACCTGAACTTCTAGGGTCTGTAAACTTCTAGGGACTTCATGGTAAAGTGGTGTGGGGTGAGCTTTGGAATCACAGGTGGTGGTTTTAATATAGATGACTTTGACCATCTACGTCAGAATCTCTGAAGGTAGGTCATAGGATTTGTACTTCCAAAAAATTTCCCTTTGTGTTTGAGAATGTTTATTACAGTATCATCTATAATAATACAATCTTTACATATTCCTCAAGAAGAAATGGATAGATATCATGGCATACAATTCAGGCATTTAAGTGAATAAAATAGAGCTCCATATATAAACATGAATAAATCTAAAGAACTTTTTTGGAGAGAATAGCATTGCAGAGGATGTGTGGTACTACTTATTTAAAGTTTAAAAAATTCATATGTACACAAGGGAAGCATACATATGTAGTAAAAGTGGATGGGAATGATAAACACCAAGTTTAGGGTAATTGTTAACTTTGAAAGGGAAGAAGATTGGGTGGGAGTTTTAACAGTCTCTTCATGTTTAATTTCTTAAAAAAAAAAAGAGTAAAGAAAAAAGGTTGCAGCAACAAACATGAAAAAAGAAGATTTTCCCCCCCAAAGGAATGAATACATAATTATTCACGGTACTATTCTCTATAATTTTTCCGATGCTTAAACTATTTTATTATAAAGTGACTCAAGCAAAACTCTCCTGGTAATTGTGATACAGACAGTTGGCATTTGGGAATTCCTGCCTTCGATGTTCCTAAGGACCTTACAGTTTTCAATGTGCTTGTGTGCAGAGAACTCTCTCCGGACCACGCTCCCTTGTTCTGATAGATGACTGATGCCTAGAGGGAGGGTCCTGTGATGTCCTGCATTCTGTCTGCATGGAATGCAGCTATTTCTCATGTTTATGATGTTGATGAACCCCACCAATCTAGCTCTGCTCTAGGGACCCAGCCTACAGGGGCCCCCTCTGTGTTGACTGCCTTTCTCCGTTATTTCAGGAGAGGTTCTGTCCTACAACTACCCTAATCTCCCCACTCTCACCTTAGAGCTACCTCCTGCCTGCCGTTCCCCGAGCTGTACTCGTTTTCACAGGCCCTTCACTGACTCTTCCGTCCAGGGGTGGACTTACCCGTGTGAATCCCAAGAGTGTTCGTTGTCCACCCCAAGCATCGCCCTTTGCAGTCAGTTCTCTTATTGCTGTATCTGCGTTGACAACTTCTTTTCTATGCTAGAAACGTCCCTGAAGTTTGATCAGTAAGGATGCCATGACTCGGGGCACGACTTGTCAAAGTGGACCTTCACATTGAATTAAATCATTATTATTTTTAATATACTCTATAGCGGTGGTTCTAAACCAAGAATGATCCCCCCTACCCCACCCCAGGACATTTGGCAGTGTCTGGAGATATTTTTCATATTCAAAACTAGGGGGGTGCTACTGGTATTGAGTGGGTGGAGGCCAGGGATGCTGTTAGACATCCTACAATGCACACACTCCCATAATCAAGAATTATCTAGTCCAACCTAGTGCCGAGGTTGTGGAACCCTGCTCTACGGTGCCTCATCTGTGAGCGTTCCCCTGACATCGAGGGCGAGTGGATGGGGCTGCAGCTTCTTCAGAGTGAAACAGTGGAAGAAGGGTGTAGGGATCCCTGGGAATATATGTACAGATTATACCTGTATCGTCGTCGTGGTATGGTGGGGGCTAGGGAGTTGGTGGTGATGGAGATGGAGGATGAGAAAAAATTAAGGAAAAACTGGAGAGGAGCCAAGTCCAGGCGGTGGGGAGAATAGAGAGGAGCTGCTTATGATGCCTTTGAACTTGGTGCTTCGCTATAAATAACAGGATAGCTATTTAAAATATTCCCAGTGCAGATCGTGGAAGGTAGTGACCGTGCTGGCCCCTCGTGAGTCATGCTAACCTCCGTCTACACTGTTTTGCAACGTGATGGATTTTGCCGTTCCTCCCATCGAGAGGTGGAATCTATTTTCCCACTCCCGGGATCTGGGCTGGCCTTGTCACCCACCTTGACCAAAAGAACGTGGGGGAGTGATGGCGCGTGACTACTGAGGCCGTTCAGCTTTGTTTTGCTCCCTTTGGGAACGTTTCTACCACCATGTGAGCAAGCCCAGCCTGAGAAAGCATCTTTCAGCAAAAGGTCCGGGTGTCCACTGTCCCGGCCCGGCCCGGCCCCCGGCCAGCCTTCTGGCTCACTCTGGTTCTCCCACAGAACCCAGGAGAAACCGGCTGGCCCACCCAGCTGGCCCACCAAGTGAGACATAATCAGCTGTGGTTATTTTAAGCCACTAAGCTCCGGGCTAGCGTGCTGCGCAGCCACAGATAACCAGACATTGTACCTCGCGACTTCATTGAATGCTCTGGGCCATGCGTTTGCTGTCGAATTTCTGTGTAAACATCAGAGACACTGAGCTCTTCCTCCTTGTTTCTTGCAGCACTTCTCGGAGCTTCTGGATGAGTTTTCCCAGAACGTCTTGGGTCAGCTCCTGAACGACCCTTTCCTCTCCGAGAAGAGCGTGTCGATGGAGGTGGAGCCGTCCCCGACATCCCCGGCGCCTCTCATCCAGGCCGAGCACAGCTACTCCCTGTGCGAGGAGCCTCGGGCCCAGTCCCCGTTCACCCACGCTGCCACCGGTGACGGCTTCAATGACGGTAAACTCAGGGGCCTCGGCCCCTTGGACTCGGAGCTCCTTGCGGGTGTGTTATAGTATCTCAGCACCCGTGTCGGCCACATACGTACCCTGTGTGCAGCCTGGTGCTGGGAGTGTGGGGCAATGCAAAGAGGCACAGGACACGTCTCTCTACCCCAGACTGTGTACTCGGGGAACTTGCTATGACTAAACTGCTTTCTCTGACCCTGTGGATGGGGAGCAAAGCATCCCTTTGCAAATCAGGATGGCCTGTCTGGTTTTCACTTCCACTAAGTCCGTTGTTTCAAGAGGTCATGTCACCTTTTTATGGCTGCTCTTCTCCATAGAAGCTGCTTGGGCACCCTCTTAGTCCACTTCCAGCATGCTCTGTTGACCCCCATGTATGTGAGGTCTTGGTGATCATTCCTAGACTTTCTTGATGGTGACCCCCTTCATGTCCATCATCAGTGTCATTGGATTGTTGATATTTGTTGAAGGTCTAATTTTACTGGTCTTACAGATGTTAAGAAGACCATTACTCTATAGGCCTTTACCTGGTTTGTACCTTATCTTCCAGACTCTCTAATTGTCTCTGTTTTATTTTCTCAGAAGTATAACCAGTGATTTAGTACTTTGAGTAAATTTTAAAAACTATTCTCTAATCCTACTTCAGCGTATGTCTTCTCAGGGGGGTGGGGTGGGGGGATAATATGGTGGGGGGTGGTCACTAAATCCACCCCCTGGCTTGGTCTGGGTGTCCTCCTCCCCTCCTGTACCACTGTACACGTGGCAGACTCTTTGAAAGTGACTCCCTACAGGACAAGTTCCCTCATTCTTCCCTTTGGTTAAACGCAAATACCTGTATCTTCTTCAAACAGGGGTTTACCTTTGTGGTGAAATCCTTCCTCTAGTTGGGGTTCTGAGATCTACCACTGGCCTCTGAAAGAACCCACCCTGGGGCAAGTAAAACAATACTTCTTGGGACAGAGAATGCTGTAGGTTGTTTTTTTTTTTCCCATCAGATATGTTCTTCCTTTGAACAGAGGTGTACTGATCCGCAGTATAGGATATTTGACCTTATATGCTCAATGAAGGGCATGTCCCAGATCTGTGAATGGATTCTTTCTTGGCTGGACCCTTCTGGAGCCTTAAGTATATGCTCAGATTCTTCCTGACAAAAGGTTAGGTGCATGATGACTTAATTCTTCTTCTCTGTAGTTTGTCCGCTTTCTCTATCTCAGATCAGGAGAAGGGGTCAGGGAGAGTCTCTGGGGAAGGAAGGGAGGAAATAGAACTAAAATAATTTAAGGGTGTGGAGTTGTGGCAAGGGTAAATGAGATGATGTGTTTAAAGAATTTAGGATTGCCCAGCCTGTGTGGCTCAGTGGATTGAACATTGCCCCATGGACTGAGAGGTACCGGTTTGATTCCTGGTCGAGGCACATGCCCAGGTTTTGGGCTTGATCCCCAGGAGGGGGCATGCAGGAAATAGCTAATCTATGTATTTCTCTCACATTGATGTTTTAATCTCTCCCTTCCTCTCTCTCTAAAAAAATCAATAAAAAGCCCTGGCCGGTTTGGTTCCGCGGTTAGAGCGTCAGCCTGCGGTCCAGAGAGACCGGGGTTCAGTTCCCGCTAAGGGCATGTACCTGGGTTGCAGTTTGTCCCTGGCCCTGGTTGGTCATGCGGGTGGCAGTCACTCGATGTGTCCCTTTTATGTCGATGTTTCTCTCTCTCTCTCTTCCTCTTTCTCCCTCCCACTCTGTCTGAACAAAAAGTGGAAAAATGTCCTTGGGTGAGGATTAAAAAAAAAAAATCAATAAAGATATATTAAAAAAAAAACTAAAGTTAAAAAATAAAATAAAAAGAACATAGGACAATGCCCACCACATAGCATTTCAAGAAATCAGTTTTTCTTCCTTCTCTCCTCTCCTCTTTCTTCTTCTGTTGTTGTAGTTATTGTTGTTCTTGCTTTCTTTTCCTTCTTTTCTTCCTTCTTCTACTTCTCCTCCTTTTCCTCTTAACCCTCCCCGTCTACTCTCGCTCTTCCTCCTCCCTCACTTCTTACTGAATCACGTTCAGGAGTGACGTCAGTCAGACTCAGGAATGTGGTCTCTGTTGTGACTGAATGCTTCATTTGTATCACTACGTGGAGGAGAGTTACAGGAGGCCGGCCTTCTCCTGGGTTTCAGCTTAGATAAATTCATGGGATCCCTGCCTGCGTTTTGATTTAAGAGTGGACTTTAGTATTGAGTGAGAGGTTGGACTAACTGTCCTTTAGATTTGTTCCCATCCTGCGGATCTGTGTGTGGTATGATTCCGTGTCATACCCGCCTTTGCTCATGGTTTTTCCCATACTCGCTTTTCTGCTTTGCCTGTTATTTCTACTTTTTTTTTTTTTTCGATGCTCGTATTTCAAGCCCTACTTCCTCTGTGGAAGTCATTTCCAGTACCGTTTGTATTAGTTATCTATTACTGTGTAATAAATCTCCCAAAATTAATGGCTGAAAACAATAATAATCATTTATTACCTCTCCTGATTTTTGTAGATGAGGATTTCAACATATGAGTTTTGAGGGGCACAAGCATTCAAATCATAGCAGGGGAGTGTTGGAGTTTTAAATAGGATAGATAGGGAAGGACTTTCGTTGAAGATAACATTTGCACAAATATCAGCAGGAGATGCTGGGAAGAACTAAATGTATATCTCAAGAAAAGGCTTCCAGGCAGAGGAAACAGCAAGTGCAAAGGCCCTGTGGCAGGAGTGTGATAACAATATAACAATACTTCTATTGTATCCAGATAATTAACATCTGTGCAATTAGCTATTTTGCAGCCTTGCCATTCTTAAATACGCAGGTTAGAGATGGCCCAGACAACCAAGCAGAAGGACTTTCTCCTTCAATCCTACATGTTTGTTGAACACTTGCTGCGTATCAGGCACTGACCTAGATACTTGTGGGACACAACAGTGACACTTAGATCCTGCCTGTATGTAGCTCAGAGCCTCATGGAAACGCCATGTACCCAAATACTTCAGACAGAATGTGAGTAATGACCCAAGAGGAAATGAAGCTGCACAAGTGGAGAGGAGAAAGAGCACACCCACTGAAGGTCACAGGAAGAGTTGCATAAATGCGGCAGAATCGATCTGGGCCTTGATGTGTTGAATAGCGTTAAAACAGTGTCAGTGGTAAAATGCCCCTGGGGAAGTGAATGAAAGGAAGCAAATTTCCCAAAATTCAGGGCCCCTTTCTTTTCCCTGAAAACACATCATCATCATCATTATTATTGTTATTATTATTATTATTAAGTTTGTGGTTATATCATAAGCTTTATGCAGTGAAGGGTTTGGAGAGTACAACTTAAAAATATTTTCTAGTTACAGTTGCAATGCAATATAATATTCATTTCAGGTGTACCATCTCTTTGTTTTTAAATTCTACTCGATATAAATGCAACGTAACTCACGGGAGCCGCCTATTTGAACAGCCTAGTGTGAGGAGAAATAATCAGTCCATCATTTCCAGGAAGCCTCTCTTATCACTAGGCCAAAGCACACATCCTTCAGTTCCACCAACTGGCACCTTGTGCTATTTTTAGACCTGGTGTTGCAAATAGTATGTGCTAGTAATTTGCCCAGAACAGGTACAGAGTGTCAGATATATTTTGTAGGGTTTCTGATCCACAGTTCATCTTCAGTATTTACCAGTTTTTCTCTGAGTAATGCCTACCTTCCTGTTGCCAGCAAAAGCACTTGTATTAATAGGGATAACGCACATGGGAAGGAACCACCTGGGTGTGTGAAATTAAGGTTAGGCCACGGGCATGATTGGATGGGGGGCGTGCTCAGGAAACTTTTTTCTAGGACTTAGCTTCAATTGTTTTTCTGAGTTTTGTAGATGGCCAAATGTTAGGGAGCAGAATTATTTTATTTGTGTGAACCTCATTCTGCATCCCACACAGATCCCAGTGCTCTGTCAGACAGATCACTTACCTGTTGAGGAGGGGTTGGTTCTTTAGGCAACACTTAAAAATTGTTGTTCCCACTAAAGTTAGTATTCTTTTTTTTTTTTAATTAAAAATTTTTTTTCTTTATTGATTTTAAGAGAGAGAGGAAGGGAGAGGGCGAGAGAGATAGAAACATCAATGAGAGAGAACATCTAATTGGCCGCCTCCTGCATGCCCCCCACTGGGCATCGGGTCCGCAACCTGGGCATGTGCCCTGACTGGGAATCAAACCGGTGACCTCTTGGTGCATGGGTCGATGCTCAACCACTGAGCCACACGGGCCGGGCTAAAGTTAGTATTCTTTTTTTTTTTTTTTTTATCCTCACCCGAGGATATTTTTCCATTTTTTGTACAGATAGAATGGGAGGGAGAGAGAGGAAGGGAGAGAGAGTGAGAAACATCGACGTGAAGGGACACATCGAGTGGCTGCCACCCACACGACCAACCAGGGCCGGGGACAAACTGCAACCGAAGTACGTGCCCTTAGCGGGAACCGAACCCGGGTCTCTCCGGACCGCAGGCCGACGCTCTAACCGCTGAGCCAAACTGGCCAGGGCTAAAGTTAGTATTCTTTACCTCATGTATTGAGAGAGCAGCTGAAGCAAAACCAGGAGTCCTTGTTTCTAACGATGGGTAGTGAGCACATATTTCATTATGCCTGGGAAAGCCAGTGGATCAGATCATCTTGTCCATTTTTACTTACATTAAACGTAGTTCTTCTGTAATTGCTTCTAAGCTTAAAACAAAGCGATAAGATAAACAGTTGAAATAGAACCTCTCTCCAAGTTTATTAGGATTTTTCTCTTTCCTCTTCTGCCTCTTCCTCCCCTCTCTCGTCTCTTTCTCTCCCACGCTAGCCCGCCCCTTCCTTCCTTCCTTCCTTCCTTCCTTCCTTCCTTCCTTCCTTCCTTCCTTCCTTCCTTCCTTCTTTCCTTCCTTCCTTCCTTCCTCCCTTCCTCGTTCTTTTCCTGCTAACTCTCCCTCCCTCCTTGAACCCCAGGCCAATTATATA